AAGGACCTTCCCAGGAAGGAAGTGGCCTCGGAGAGCTGGATGGGCTGACCGGTGTCCTATAGACTGGACTGGTGTCGGGTCTGCAGTGACAGCAACCCCAGGTCCTGGACTGCTGGGAATCCTGACCACATTTAGAGGCGTCATCATTTAGACCAGATGCAGGTGCATGAGGATTCTGGTAAACCCAGAGCTGGCTCTGTCTGTCTGTCAGACAGTTGGAGGCTGTGAACCCAGTCACTTGAGAGCATGAGTCTGTGGCCACCGGCCTGCTGAGTCTTGGGGGATGCTCAGTGCTTCAGAGAAGGTGTGGATGCCCGACACTATCAGTGTGACTGGGAAGAAGCCCAATTTTGCCAGCCTTTTCACTGAACTAAAATACTCTACATGTCTGGACACTCTCCAGTGACTGGACATTCTGTGCCTGTGCACTCCATGTGCCTGGACACCCCCAGGTGCCTGTGCCTGCACTTTGTTTTCTCTGTGATGGAGGTGTCTGCTCTGGGCATCCATAGTCACCTGAGTAAGGCCAGTGGGAAGAGGAAGACATTCAGAAGTGAATGTCTGCAGGTTTGGGCACTGATGCTATTTCCGAGATTGGACTTTTTAAACATCTTTCATTAAGTTAACTGAGTTCAGTATTCCCGAGGACAGCGAAGTGAGGTTCCACGTGCCACCTGCTAGTATTCTATTGCACCCCTCTTGGGCTCTGCCTCTGGACTGCCGCTGTGTTTGGATGTCCAGTGCTCTGCAACAACATGACCCCGTCCTGGGGTCCCTGATGGCCATGGCCTTCCACCCGTCACGCAGGCATCAAGAGGCTTTCTCTCCTTAAAGAGAAAACAAAGCCATACACAGTGGAATATTACTCAGCAACCAAAAAAGACAAACACATATTTTTTGCAGCAACATGGATGGAGCTGGAAGGGATCATGCTGAGTGAACTAAGCCAGAAAGAAAAGGAAAAATACCAGATGGTTTCACTCATCAGGAGCATAAAGGACCAGGTGAGAAAATAACAATAATAATGAACAGCTATAGACCAGAGACATTTTACAGGGGTGGAGTGGGGATCAAAAATGGGGGGTGGGGGAGTGCACAGAACTATGGTGATGGCACAGGGTGATCTGGTGATAGGAAAGAGGCACAAAACGATGTAAAATAAACTTATATTATTAAAAAAAAAAAAGTAAAAACAAAGCCTCTACGAGGCCCTCACTGGGCTTCCGCCGCCCCCCCAGGCCCTCCCCAGCTGTGAGGGCCCTGCCTTCTCCGCCAGCCTGCCGGGCCTTGCTCAGCCCACGGTGATGTTGCTGGGACTTCTGCAGTGGTTGCTGTCAGCCTGGTCTTTTGGCAACGAACCGCGCACTGTTGCACGATATCGCGTCTACTGTCTAGAACTGGCATCGAGTCGTCTCATTAACTCTTCACGCCGGTCTCTTGCTCTCACCCGACGGTTAACTCCACACGAGAGCATGTGTCCCCAGCAGGCTCCCTCCCACCCACGCGCGTGCCGTGGACACGTGGAAGACCCCACGCGGCGGTGTTCAACCCACGTGGTGGTGGTCAACCCACGTGTTTACTGTTTGCACTGAAAAGTCGTGAACCTCATGGTGCTTCAACCCAGTGAGCCGCAGGACAGGGGCCAACTTCCTAAATTAGCGTCTCCTATATAGCTCGGGGGGCGTTTGGTCAAATGCAGTGTGAGAGAAAGAAATCTTCCACGAGCCTCCTGGGTCCATGGGCACATTACTCTTGGAGAGAGAAGGGAGATGACTGTTTAAATGTTTTATTTTTAACTTGGGCGTTTCCGTGAAAGCGTTCTCATGTGATTTTGAATGTGGAATTCGGCCATTATATACGTTCCTGGCGGAACAGCAGAGATGATGTTTCCACTTAAGTCCTGATTAGAGGATGGCTTGACCTTTTCCGGTCTTAAATCATGGCAGATGCTTACTGTTGCAAGAGTTCTTTAATGAAGATTGTTACATCTTCGGCACTCTGGACAGTGTCACTGGGTCCGGTCTTTTAAGTGGCCGTTTTGTTGTGGAACCTGCTCCACCCCAGCGGTGACGGCGTGTGGCCTGTGTGTTTACTCTTCTGCCTTTTCCACAGAGGCTCTGCTTCTCAAGAGGCTTTCTCCTGCACCCTTATGTTAAGTTTTCCCAGAAACAGCAGCTTTCAAACATTTTTTAAAAATATTTTAATGCTTAAAATGATAATAATAGACTCTTTACATGTTAATCTAAGAAACATATTCTTGTGAAAAATAACTATTTTCCAGAACCACAAGAACTATTTAGTGAAAAGAGTGGCCTTATCTTACTTTTTTGCAACTCAGTGTCTGGTGTGATAGAAAACAGTTGGACTATCATTTCTGAGTGTGCTTTTTATCTGTGGCGCTATGTTATTTTGGTTTAAGAATACAAAGAAAATCTGGCTACCCACAGATA